CAAAACAGTGTCATAAGAGTGACTTACAAAATATAGAAAAAGGGCATTACTTCCTTTTCATTAAAAAATACAGCCATTCCAGAGCTCTCTTTACCAGGTTGGAGAGTGTAACTCCCAGAAAGCTAAAACTGATCACCTGCTCCACCTCACCTCCAGTGAAGTAGACAGGAGTGTGTGTCTTCACCTCCTTTTTCCTAGAATGAAAAATCAGCCATGCGGTTTTGCTGACGTTGAGCGATAGGCAAGAAATACCTGATCGCATCTCTGATACATTTTGGAAAGAGCCAGTAGAAACTAGAACCTCAGACTACAATCTGACATATCCAAGGATCTACACATAGTTTGTTGCCAGACATATTGGTGTCCTTAATATCATAGGTAAAATCTATTTTTAAAACTATATGTCTGCACAATATTTGAAGTTGAAAAATATACATGCTGATGTATAGACAGTATTTGGTTGTCTTTGGATTGAAGGAACAACATTTAAAGTTTTATTATATTCAGTGTGATTATATGTTCGCAAACCTGCAGACTGACGTTTAGTTATTTTTGTAAGTTATTTATATGCAAACCTGGAGGCAACCGAGCAGAGAGACAAGCTGACAAAGTGTGTGCTGAATTAGGAAATGGTGGTTTTGCATGTTTTAGTTCATTTTCCAACGCATTATGAATAGATTTTAAATTGATATCCTACCTTCAGGGCAACCTGTGGTTAAATTAATTTCCATATGATGGGAAATCAACTTGCACAGAACTGAAACTTGCTTGAAACAGACAATCCATCACATCAGTTACTTTTAGTATTCTAGCAAAGTTATGTTATCCAGACATTGTAATGCAGTTGTTAGAGGTGCGTTACTTGTGGGAAACTGCAACAATAAAGACTTAAAAGCATGAAGCTGATGCTATTTCATTTATTTATTATTGTCCATAAATCCCTCCAAAAAGACCAAAACCGACAATGTGTTAGTCCTAATGTCAATACATCACATCTTTGCTTCCCTTTCTGTGCTTCTCAGCTCCAAGCCTGTTTCTAGTATAGACTGTATAAAAGAAGTGGCCGTACCTACTGTGATGTCACTCACTGGTTTGCGGACCACCGTTTTGAAGCCTGGAGTTTAGCAGTTTGACGGTCAAGATCTTTGTTTTTTGGAAACGGATGTGACCATATTTGGACGAGAGAGTGGCGCCAGCTAGCTTGGTTAGCAAGGTGCATCCTAATTCACGTTAGCTGTGATTTTAACAGGGATGCTAATTTTGGCTAGTGAAAACAGGCTTAAAAAACAAAATGCACTTCCCCGCCCCGCCGCTATCTGTTCGCAACATAGTCGGACTTGCCACCTGCAAGATTGCCCAGCAATATTGCTCAAAAAGTTGCCCTGTGTATCATCAGCTTTCTATAGAGTCTGACCTTTTTTTGCAACCAGTGAAGTCGCCCCCTGCCAGCCATTAGAAAAAATGCAGATTTCAGACACTTCGGCATTGGCTTCCCTTTTTCAGATCTGGAGTTACAGCTTGGTTCCCACCAAAGACACAAGTCTTCGAAAACAGAGCACAAGTACAGTTTCATTTTTCTTTTTCAAGAAGTCCCCACTCACTTAGTGCATCTTATTTTTTTAGCGCATCATTGTCCAATTTTACTATCACCCAATAACAACATCTCTTATAAATAAAGTCTAACTAAATGAAGATGACTAAAAGCTCACTTTGTTGGATTATCTTAGTATCTTAAAGATGGGAAATCAATCAAAAATTCAATTAGTACATACAATTAGTAAATGGGCTAAAATATGCAGAAAAAAAGTCTCATCTATGAATGATTTAGTGGTTGACTAGCGCATGATAAAGTCTTGTTAGGATTTGCACACTGCTTCTGAGTATGTCCAAAGGCATCATGTTACCCACTACTGTATCTTGTGCTGTGACTCAGAGACAAGACATACCAACCGCCAAGCTACCTAATGCATGACCTGTGATCACCCCTGCACCCCCTCCTTCCTGGCCTGAGGTGGTACTCTGTGCTCTTGGGACACTGTAAAGGCAGTGAATTAAAAAAGGTACAAGCTCCAAGTGACATTCCAGGTAGGAAGGAGGGCCGCGGGGAGGGTTTGTTACTGTGCTGAGATCACACTTTTTCTGAACATCTAAGGCACTTCTCTTGCTGCCTGAAGGCGATCAGGATGTTGGTTTGGATGAAGGTCAGATGCTGTTATGTAAGATCTCTGGTTGGAATGGCAAGTTGAAAGCTTTCAGAACAGTCTTTGTTATAAGGCTGAGGTCGTGAGGTGCCCACAAAGATCCATTTTGCTCTCAGTGTGCTCTGTTCCAGTCTGGCCCTTGCTGCAAAAACATGACACTCATTGTGCTGCTCTATTTGTGCACTGTACACTCAATGATTCACTTTAATTTAACAATCTGAGTTGTCTAATATAAGCCTGTTTTTTTTCATCTTCAAGTAGATAAGTCAGCCTGCAACTAACGATTATTTTCAATATTAATCAATAACTTTAGTCTGCAAATTTTCAGAAAATAGTAAAAACAATTGTCCATCACAAGAAGCATATTAGCATGCTGATGTTAGCATTAACAAGTACGGTCTCACAGAGCCACTATCTTTCAGTTTTGACTTATTCTGTTAGCATGGTAACGCACTAAACTAGGATGGTAATCATTATACTTGCTAAACTCTGGCATGTTAGCATTGTCATTGTGAGCATATTAGCATGCTGATATGCCACCTTGCCTGCGTACAGTCTTGCAGAGCTGCTAGCATGGTTGTAGACTCTTGTTTACTTATCTTTTCAGCACTATAGGTGAGTTGACCAACACTTTGATGTACAGCCTGATCAGTTAGAATATTTGCTGCTTCCAGCTTCTGAAATGTTTGGATTTGCCTTGTAAATTGAGTGTGTTTGTGTTTTGGAATATTGGTCCGAAATAAAATGCAAATTAAATGTGACACCTTTTAGCTCTGGGGAATTGCCATGGGCTATTTCTCACTCTTCACTGGCATTTAATGTACTAAACAATTCACAGATATTGTAAGTCCAAATAATTGTTTTGCAGTCGCAGTGTTCGAATGAATTTGTTAAACTGCTATACTTCCTTGAGGCATTTTAGTGGATACCTAAACTGCATTGGCTGGTTACTCAACACACATCAAAGCATCCTGTAAAAGCAATCTCATTTGCGGTTCTAAAGCTGTGTTCAGTGCTTCGCTCTGATACCTCGGTTAGGTAATACACCGGCACTAAGAGTTATATTGGAGGTGACACCGCATCAGGCCTATAAATAGCTTTGCACTTGTCCCCCAGGAGCCCAGCTGTAGCTTTCTCTCGGGCATTTGATCACTTGTTTGTAGGTGACTGACATCACCCACTGCTGCTTTGTCTGTCTGACTTTCTGACTCCTGCACACACAAAAAAACACATGCGCATTGAAACACATACTGGCACAAACACACCCTCAGTGCTGTAATAGCTTCATTACTGCTAGAATACAGTTCGCCTGAGGGTTTCCCTAAACTACATTTAATGATGACTCACCTAATCACTTTAAATACTCAACTATCAGTGCCACGAGCGAGGCAGGTCTGAGTAAAGTGAATTCTCTGATACTGTATCGCGCTTCAATACATAAAATAGTGCACATAATTGGAGGGGAAGGGGATTCAGCCCAGCACAAGCCTCATAACAAGTGGGAGTATGAAGCGAATGAAAACGAGAAAAGATATACAAACCCCCTGCAGGCTGTGTCTGACCCCAGTGAGTCACTGTCTACACGAGCTTCTCCAGAATCGGGCATGACTCAGTAACGAGCACAAACATTTCTGAAGTGCACTTTTGTTGCTGGCTACAGTATGCAGCTCCAATTTGGAGTAGGTACCATTTTAATGCCTTGTATTAAAACAAACACCGATGGTTTTCAATTCCTAGAGCAAATTTGTTTTTATAATGCAATCCTTTATGTTTTAGTCTTATTACCTCAAGGTGGTAGCTTATTTGGACATAGTTGCAACATGTTCTTACTTTCTCAAAGGAGAAAAAAGATCGACATAGAAAGGAAGAATGTGTGTGTGGGGGTCCACTATCTGATAGATTAACCTTTATAAAGGGTAAATAAGTAGTAAGTAGAGGCGTTATTATTATAATTATTAATGGTTAATAAATAATTCACCTATGCTTTACTAATGCTTTACAGTTATTAACAAGAACTGTTAGATCCCTTAGCTTCTGGGAAAGGTTTGGATCAAAATCCAACAGCTTACTAACTGGGTTATTGTAAAAAGTGGTCATTAGTGAATTGCCCACATTTACCACTACTGACATGATGGCTTATTAGAAAGTGAGAAACTCATGAGCATTTATTAATGGATTAACAAAATGTATAATTGTGTTATTACCAAATACAGCAGAAAGGATTAAAAACCAAACACAGTGATTATTCACAACCAGGCAACTCCAAACTTCTTCTTGCTAATAGCTTATATTTGATCTATAAAACATGATAAATTTAATCCAGCTTCTATTTTTTTGTGAAAAAGTACAAAGGTGTTTTCCAACTTACTTCCTCCTCCTGGAGAAGCACATACATTGTGGCTGGTACTCCTGCAAAAAAAACCTAATAAATGAGTAAAGATCCAGTGATTCTTATCTTGACAAAATGTGACACTAAAACACCGTTTCACTAATATTTTAATAAATATCAGCTACAATGTTAAATGCATCTACTTCTACCACAAGGCTTTTGGTTCATGGACGGATGGACCAGTGGACGTGAAAGACGTTGTGCTCAAATGTTCTTTCTATGAGTAACTTGAAAAAAAAAGAAAGAAATAAAGACAAAACTCTAAAACGCGCTTTTCCCCCCTGTTAACTATTTAGTTTATTTCAGGGGCGGCAATATGAGATCGGGTGTTGCTATGTGAATTTGTCGTTTTGTTGATTGGTGATTTGCTTGATTGTTCAACAAATTAGTAAACCAGGAATCTTAGAAAATACGGGGATTTAAGTTGGCTGTGGCACTGATCAGTCTCAGTGTAGAAATTTAGGTAGAAATATAAAACAAGACATCTAAGTTTCCCTATTAGAACATACTGTGTTTCTGCTTTCTGAAAATCTCCCAGACATTTTAGTCTTCATGAGCACAAACTCATAGCCTATTTATATCATATTTTAAAAATACAAACCTACTCTGATTTCAGTCATAGTCTACCAACAGCAGGTTATCTTTTAAATGCCAGTCCTGTTATATATTTTTGCATACCAAACACAAATTATTATAGCACCCTGTGAATCTACAGTAGCCGTGGGTCTATGAATAATTCATTTCAGGAAAAGGATCTATTTGCCCCCGTGCCTCTCAGGCGCGCGGGTCCACCTGGTGCCATTTGGTCACGGCAGAAGCGTCTCTAATTATCCAGTTGCACACCCCTGGATTTCTCTGCGCCCTCTCGCCTCCAGATCCACATTGATTTTTAGGCAAGGTGTGATCAATGCGCACGACGCCAGAAACTCGCACGTGAATAACTCATGCGGGATGATTGACAAGTTTCCGCAAGGAAATCAAACAACGGGCAGAGAGAAACATCTCATCATAGAAGTACTCCAATATGTAGGGAATAAGGTGAGACTTTAAATGCTTCTGTGATTGTAGGACAAGTTGTTCTCTTGCCTCTAGCTGTGATTCTTCACGTCATATGTAAAAAGGATCAGCAACAGGATTGGCATGCTGCTTTCCTCAGTCCCCTATAGACCTGTCTCTGATGAGCGGGGTAGCCTGCGCTCTTTTTGCCACGCACGCCTTACTTGCTTCACTTCTCAAAGCTTCACTCGTGCACTTGTCGGACGTTAATGGGAATTAATCAGCAAGTTTGATGAGGGAGATGGTGGCGGCGGATGCTCCGTTCAGCACGCTGGACAGCGCTCGTGGAAGTTGGAGAGGACGACGGCGCGCGGACACGCGGGGATTTAAGTGAAATGAATTTTGGGAGCCTCTGGAGGGATGAGCGACGGGTGACCATGGTTGATTGTAAGTGCTCATCGTCGACAACAGGCGCAGGTAACCCGAGGGTGGACTTTCTGGAGTGAGACATGGACTTTGCTGAAATCATTTTCGCTTTGTTCATCGTCGTGGTCGCGGTCGTCTCGCTGTTGTCAAACTTGTTGGTGCTGCTATGTTTCGTCCACAGCACCGAGATACGCCGGCAGGTGCCCGGTGTTTTCACCATGAACCTGTCCTTCTGCAACATACTCATCACCGTTTTGAACATGCCGGCCACTTTGGTGGGGATTATCAGGAACCAGCAGCCTTTTGGCGACTGCGTTTGCCACACGGTGAGCTTTCTGGAGACTTTTCTGACCGCAAACACCATGTTGAGTATGGCAGCCCTCAGCATAGACCGGTGGATAGCGGTGGTCTTCCCGCTCAGTTACTCCACTAAAATGCGCTACAAGGACGCGCTGATCATGGTGTGCTACTCCTGGCTCCACTCCTTCACCTTCTCCCTGACGGCGCTGCTCTTCTCCTGGGTCGACTACAGCGACGTTTACGCGTCCTGCACCTTGCAGCCGAGCGAGGAAGGCAGCGACAGGATTAAGTTCACAATCTTCACAGTCGTTTTCCACGCCACTAGTTTCATGCTCTCCCTGCTCATCCTGTGCTTCACCTACTTGAAGGTGTTGAAAGTCGCCAGGTTTCACTGCAAGAGGATTGACATCATCACCATGCAGACTATTTTCCTACTGGTCGACATTCACCCAAGGTAGGTCACATAATGCATTTATATATATATACGCATGTTTCCTTTTCACTGTATAATTCATTGTCTTGTCAGTATTTTGAAAGAAAAAAAAAGCCTGAAAGCCTTTTGCTGTTTCAGCGTGAAACAAAGATGTTTAGCTGAGCAAAAGAGCAGAAAGCAGAGAGCCACAAAGAAGATCAGCATCTTCATCGGCTCATTCATCATCTGCTTTGCTCCTTATGTAATTACAAGGTAAGTGGAATTCACTCATAAATCATTTAATTTACTGCAAAACTCCTGTGCAACAACTTTTGTTCATAACAATACAGCCTGAGCAATTGAGTGGCCTGATGAGCTTAAAACTAGCCTGAATATCATCTCTGCATCCAGACTCACGGGAGTTGTCGTCCTCTGCAGACCAGTAAGATGCAAACCTGTCACACCACAAGATCTGATTAGAGACAATTCAACACCTGGAGTGCACAGTCCCATAACAGCTGGCTAACACCACACTGCACATTTTCACCTGATCATTTTAATTATTTTAATTTCTCTGAACCAGGAGATAGCCAGAACAGGTGGCTTGCCATGCTGCTTCCACTGAAATACACACACAATACAGTTTTAAGACAATAGATACAGTACAGGGAACAAACAGTGGCTCCTAGAGAAAAGAGGAAAAGACTCAGGGGCCCACAAATCTGTTTGTTGTCAGCCAGATGTGGTGCAGAATGCAGATGATCCATCACTTTGATATTTGTGATACGTGCACTTGTGGGAGGGAGTAGGCAAGACACATTAACAAGGAAAAAGTGTCTGAGAAATTGGAGCAGCCTCATGACCAGTCCTACCCACTGGAAGCATCCTGAATGACTAATTATGATAATTCCTACTCATGTATCTGTTCTGCTTTGAAATGAGCATTTATACACATCATTTGCTGACTCTGTGCTTCCATGACATTTTTGTTTCATAATGTTACTTTAATTAGCAGAACACAAGGTGCTGTATGTAAATTATTGGAATGTGAATTGATGGGTTACATTTTTTAAAAGGCAAAGCCCTCTGCAGCCTTATTAACATTTTCTATTAATCTTCCTCTGGACTTAAGAAAACTGTAGCACTCTCTTCCCTAAAACATATAAAACACATATATAACAGTGTTGAATAAGATGTTAGTACAAAAATGTTGCTAATATCAGCTTAAACACTAATTTTATTATAATTTCTCCTGAGGAGATCTTTTTCCAAGTTTGATGGATAAGACTTGAAATGCCTTTATACCAACAAATCAAAGAAATAAAGTGAAATGCAGTAGGCATCGCTAAAGGTATTTCGCTAAAGGTATTAAGCTAAAGGTATTTCCTTTTTATGTATTCTCTGAGAAAGATTTAAAATGCTATCTCAAAAAAAAAAGAAGCTCCCCTGCACCTCCCTGTGAAAACAAATGATAGTGCTGCGCATTTAATGTGCAGGTTAAAGATGTTCTCTGCTGGACAACAATGAAATGCAGTACACCTCTTCACCTTGTTTTCTGTGATTTTAAGGTGACATTGAAAATTCATGTCACAATGAAATACAATTCATTCAGTTATTAGAAACAAAGAGCTAATAAGTGTCCTTTTAAGTAATGTTTTTCATTCAATTATGTCATAGTGAATGGAAACTTATAAGGGAAATACATATTACAATGTGACTTGTATGTCACTGAACTTTCTTTGGTTTGTTTTTATGTAGGCACTTAGAATCTTCCATACTAACTAATCATAAACAAGGTGCATAAACGATTTGAAATAGAGTACCATTTTGTTAGTGGAGCAGTGATTTATGTGAATTTTCTGTGTGGATATTGTCCACATGGCACCCCTAATAATTTTCATGCTGTCCCTAATGTGTTAAAAGCTCTATAGGCTCAGTCTTACCTAATCATCTTCTTGAACATTTGAAAAACTGAAGAACAAAAGAGTTCTGAATGGCAATTGGACTGAAATGTACTTTGTTCAGTCATGTTTCTGCTGCCGCCCCTTCAGGTTGGCCGAGCTTCTACCCTTCGTGGACATCAACCGCCACTGGGGAATCATCAGTAAGTGCCTGACATACAGCAAGGCTGCGTCCGACCCCTTCGCCTACTCCCTCCTACGTCAGCAGTACAAGAAAGTCCTGGTCACTGTCGTCAACAGGCTGCTCCGCCGCGACCTGTACCCCTCGTCTGGCCACAACAGCTCTTTAGACACAGAGAACGACTACTGTCTCCAGAGGATCAGCTAATGGCAATCGCGCGGACATGACAGATACACACTGCAGGCCAAAAATAAAGGTTGCATCTTGGAAGAAAGTGGGTGGAGGAAGAGAAATGAGGAGAGAGACGATGAGGGCAGGATATTGTTAGGAAGGGAAAAGAGAGCCGATAGAGGGGACAGATTGTGGGCGGGGGGGGGATAAGGAACAGAGTGGGTGGAGGAGAATGAGAAGACAGCAATGAGGGGGAGGATGAACGGGCGAAGGGGCCGATAGATAGGGAGCGACAGGTCTGATGTGGAAGACGTTTGCCTCAGACAGCATTGGTAAACAAGGGATCTGTGATTCATCGCCGATGGCAAAACAGACAAAACCACACAAATCAGACAAATCAATTTCATCGAATAAGTCATGGGTTCAGATTAATCTCAAACTGAAGGCCCACACTGCTGGAGATGGGGCCCTTTCTTCGCTTAGAGAGACATGGATAAAGTGGCCTTTTGTGTTGTACCAACCACTTTCTAATGATTTTGGCAAATCCACATGTAGTGACCTTTGTGCCGCCACAAAACGCGGGGACAGAGCTACACGCTGATGGTCGATAGGCAGTGGCGTGAAGATATGAAGAAGGGAAAGACTGTTTGTTCCTGCTTCAGAGACTTGATGTACTCTTACTAAATGCGTGGAGACTCCACTGCAGCACATAATTGCCATGTTCTGTATTGACTATGTTAGACTACTTTGCAGTTTCACGACAGTCACTGAGTATTGATGCACTTTGTCTAAGTCTCTCAGAGCTACTTTAGTAACGGGAGCCAACGGCAAATAACATTTACACCTTGATAATAAATGATAAGGTTGGTGATGTTCTGTATTTTTGTTTGATGTTATTGCCAACACACTTTGAAAAAAAACTAAATCGACAATGTGTTACACAATACTTCCTGATTTCTCCAAGCCCATTGGCTCCTACTGAAGATTAGTGTGTTTTATTTTTTTATGTATATTTTTTGCCTTTATTTGAGACTGACAGTAGAAATACAGACAGGACAACAGACTTGGACACATACTGTAGTTTTTAGCAAATGCTACTCAAACTGTGCATTTTTTGGGGACCAGTTTCTGAAACAGATTATTAAACATTTTGGTGCACAGGTGAGTATTTATAACAGCAGTACAGAGTATATAAAACAGAACTTTTGAATGTCTGGTCTACGCCACTTAGTCTGCAAAGCATCTTTGTTTTCACGCTTGTTTCATTTAATTAAATCCAACTCTCTTGTGAATTAAACCAGCGCACCCCTGAGTCTAGGAGGAAGGGATGATGTGATTGAGAATTTATTTGAAGATTGGGATCGGTGGCTACACATACTTGTCAGTAGGATCCATTCATTATTGGTGTTGTTCTTTTCATGGAATTTGATGACAATAAGGAAAACACAGAATATCACCCGACTTATCCTTTAAAGTGTCAGATTGTAACTGAATGTACTAGAGATAGCCCACTTTTGACTGAAATGCGTTTGTACAACTGCTGTTTGTTTTGCCAGTGGACTGGAGAAAGTCTTTCTATGGATATTTACATGATGTTATTATATATTTTGCATTGTCCAGGAACACCTTTTTGTCTAGATAAAGGGGGAGCAATGTGATGTAGCATAGGAATGCTTTCAAAGTGCTTTAAAATGAAGTTAATTTGTTAACTTAGGTTCGGGAGCGGGGCCACGCCTCAACCACACCTCCAATCACGTGTCAGGCTACATATACTGCTCAGCCTGCTCCACTTGTTTACAGGTTGCTCGACTCAAGACAGACAATGATCCACGCTCAACAGCACGCTGTTTCAGATCACTCGACCCACCCTCCCTTTCCCTTCCCTTCATCTATTCATCCCTACACACATCCGCTCATCTTCTGTTCCCTTATCCCCTCATCCCTTCACCCCCACATCCTTTCATCCCCTCATTTCTTCCTGTTCAATCAGGGTGCAGCTCTCTCATGTCTCATCTAGGTACTGTCTGGGGGGCTTGAAATAAGCTTGGGCGAAAACACCTCCGAGACGGAACCCCCACACTGAGTCTCTATGACCGGTCTCCTGTACACCCTCTCAGACCAGCCTATCAGACGACATCCTTCTTCCACCATCACCCTTCCCCTCTACATGCATTAATTCATCCTCCATATTTGCATATACCTCTAAATCACACATTGTTGTGGCGTGGTCCTTGCTAGTGAATACACCGTTTTGTGTTTGTGCCAGATTTGAATATGTGACTCCAGCTGTTCTATACTTTAACCAGAATAGCTGCTTTATTATCTGTGGATGTACTTTATGCACATGTATTTCTCCTGCTGTGAGCCACTTGCTGTTCTTTGGCAGTGTGATTAGCTATTAGTGGAATCTGTGCAATAAAATCTGTCAATTATAAAGCTATTAAAGATATTAATGTTTTCACAGTAATGTCAGTGAATCTAGATAATGGCCTTCAATTTCTTTTGTAAGTCTGTAAATCCAATTCAAGCAGTACAGTTAGAAGTCTAGGACACTAAGTGGGAAATAGTTTTATTAGGATTATGGGAAGATTATAGGCAATATTCAGTAGATGAAATTGATGGATACAGGTAAGGAAACATAATTATCCTGAAATAAAACTGTTTTGGTTCCTTGTTTACCACCAGCTACACACCTCTTTCTGCATTACATTGTTTTGCATCCATCTGCCCCGTGGCCCTAATTATATCGCAGATGATACATGGAATAAAAATTGACTGTGGTGTCACATGAGCAATCTTTGTTTCAGCAGCATTATTGCCAAGTGCAATTAAACAGACAGGTCAAATATAATTTTTGGTCTCCTCATCTCCTTCTTCCTCTCCATAGGGCGACCATAGGGGAGTCCGTGCCCGGGTGCTACGGCAGATTTCCCTATCGTGCTTTCGAAAATCTATTCAGCAACCGCAAGCCTTGTTCATCTTTCTGTTTTGCTCATCAATAAATCATTTAATCGTATCTGTTGATTGTTGTCCTTGTTAGTGAAATTGGCTATATTAAAACATCATCTAATTAACCACAATCATCAGAAACTGGTGATTATGAAATGAAAATGTATGCTGAGCAAAACATGTTGAAGAACTAAGTCAACTGAGTGAGTTCAAAGAGTGTCAAACCACTCTTCAAACTATATTTTCTCTGTGACTCTTCTGACACTCTTACTTCATACTTCAGTATAAACTTATGATGAGCTCAAGGAGAATTTAAACATAGTTCACTTCAGAGGAACATGCCCCAGTCTGCAAGTAGCCTACTGAAGATGACATCTTGTATCATCATCCTTTTGCAAGGAATAAAACAAAGACGGCCATGCTAGTGTTTCTAAGGGTCTGTACGTAGACGCAGCAGTGCTTTGAGCTATATGCTAATGTTAGCAAATGTTAGAATGACAACATGTGGATGTTTAGCTCTGTTTTTGTTCTCTACCACTCCACACCAGGGGAAAATGCTCCACTGAGTTCACAGTGGGAAGTGTTCAGAGCTTCTTTACTGAAAACAGCTGCCTACTGCGGCCACAACTGGTGCTAGGAGAGTGAACAAAACAGTAAAGTTGCGTGATAATTACAGGTTCATCACTACGAATAGGCCCCTTTCACATGTTGCATTGTTTTCACATTGTCATTTGATACATTGTTAGTACAAAAATATTGCTAACAGCAGCTTAAACACTAATTTTATTATAATTTATCCTGAGGAGATCTTTACCAAGTTTGATGGAAATGTATCCATCAATGCATTCATCATTATGTCAGTTGTAACCTCTGGGGACCAGGAATGAAATTTCACAGTGATCCATCCAATAGATATGTATTTTTTTGCTGCTAAAGTGACTAGAAATATAGCATAGCATAAAGTTTCCTAACCTTTACAGACTGAATGTGAAGGCATTTATGCCCACAAGCACTGTCACGTCACAGCAAGAAGGTCTTGGGTTTGAACCTTTGTCGTCCCAGGCTTTTCTGTGTGGAGTTTGCATGTTCTCCCTGTGTCTGCATGCTTTCTCTCTGGGTGCTCTTCAGTCATTCAGCTTGCACAAAGATCAGTGCGCTTTTATTATTTGCCAGGCTTATGATTGTGTAATCTTTCTATTATTATTAAATTTTTTTGTTTTAACAATTTTTTTTATTATAAAAAACCTGTATCAGTTTTTGCAGAGAAATCTGATGAAACTCACTCCCACAGGGTGTCATCTCTCCCAGAAGGCTTCATGTCCATTCACTGGGCTGGGCAATAATCTGCATAATAAATGACCACATTAAGGATCTAATTCATATTCCTGATTTAGCTGAAGGATACAGTAGTATTTCTATTTTTTTACTCTTGCTCACACCACCCTGCTCACTCCACCCATTACAGCCGCAGGGCCACACTCGATCTCAGGATACTCTATTCAGTCTTCAACCCAGGGGCCCTGCGCCTGTTTTCATGATGAATAATTATGCTTCCCATTATGCTAATTCAGATCAGCTCAGCTTAAAGGAGAGAAGACCCTACAATTAGCTGAATGAGTAAAACAAGCTCACTTAGAAAATGTAAGTAGCCGTGACAAAATCTTCTGTGTGTAATAGTCCCAAGGATTTTTTCCCCCTCTTTGCGCATTTGAACAGAAATCAGGTCAGGTAGCAATCACCTCCTCTGTGTCTTGATGCAAATTAAGTCTCCTCTTGAGACAATCAAAGGTTTTGATCCATCTTATGCCTATCTGAGAATCATAGCTCCATTGCTACATTCAGATATTAGGGCGACGAAACCATCGATACAGCGCTATGAATTCTGTTTAAATTTTTCCCAAATGCTGAATGTTTTCTGAATTCTGTGTTTTACAATTTAAGCACATTTTGTCATCAGAAAAGGTGTGTAATCATGTGGCGGTGAATAAAATTTCAACAATAGGATTATATTACAAAATTAATTAATATCAATGAATTAGATGCATCTTGCAAATTTGCATTTAAAAATATTCAAATATATGCGCATTTTTTACGGAGACAATTCACAATAACAGTAAGATAATTAAAATACTATAATACCACTGTAAACCCAAAGTTCAGAATACTCAAAATATTTGTGATTACCTCAAACTTTGATAGTAGTGGTAATAATATTTTTGAGTAAACCTTAACTTAAATATAATACATTTTTAAATAACATGTAATTTCTGCATACTAAATTACATTGAATTCACTGATGCTTAGTATGCTAGACTCAAATACTAATGGAAACTCACTCAACAAAATTACTACTAGTCACCTTAAAATTTACAAAATGCCCATTTCAGATAGTCCTGAAAAATACGAATACAACTCCATTATTACAATTCAAGTTCTCTTTATTAGTATCATCTTCTCACATCTTCTACATTTGACACAAAATAAGGCACATCTTGCATAAAGCTGAATAGACTAAGTAATTGACTGCTTGATCAGATAATTAACCAGCAACAATTTTGATAATCAATTTGTTTTCATTCTTTTTCGCAATAATGTTGAACATTCTCTATTTCCAGATTCTTAATGAGATTTTTTTGGTATTAAGCGATGATAATTTGAATCTTGAGCTTAATAAAATTTCCTTTTACTACTTACTTTACTGTGTTTTGTGCTTGAAGTGGACAAAAATAGGTGCCAGTACTCCCAAAAAACTTTCAGCGTCCCCAGTTCAAATGACACTTTTCAGTTAATATATTTCAGTTAATATATTTAAATGTCCCGCCCCATCCAGACTGTGATTGGTCGGTTCATGACAAGTGGCATTGACGAGCTACATTGTGCAACGAGCTCCCTCATCTCTTGAAATGAGTTTAGCAGGCAGGAGATAACGGGAACAGGTGAGCGTCACGAAGCGCCCAGAGCTTCTGATATGGAGAGGGCAGAGAAGAGTACCGGCAGCTTGGGAGAAGCTGTCCCGCCCCACTTCAAGAACTGGTTTTGTGGAAAAAACGACTTTATTCCATGAGCAGCACTTTTACTGAAATAATATAAAAGGGAGCTTTAATGTGTAGTTTTATGGAATCATAAGCAAATAAAGATTTTTTAAAATAAGAAGTCCCACACTATGCAAATTTTTAATTCAGGTAGACGTGGTAAAGGAACAGTATCAGGATTTCTGCAGGTTTCACCTGGTCAAATTTAAGACCATTAGGAATTAAATTTAAAAACTATATTATGACTAAAAAAAAGAAACGCACAAAGGGAATGCAGTCACAAAATTACTTGCAGAGTAGGGTTAGCAGAAGCAGAAGAATAAATCTGTTTTATATCTGTGGTACAATCCGGAAGACTTGCGGCAATAACACGAAAGCTGCCTGTTATGGTGCTTTCGCACACAACGCGAGAAAGCGATTTTAACGCGATAATGTGAATAAACACAACTCGCCATTACTACAACTGTTTGAACCCAAAGTAAACATTTTGCTGTGATTAAATAGCAATAAAACAGATTAAACTGATGCCAAAATAACTACAATATGAAACAGATTTGTTAAACATATGAATTCATGCTTTGTCAGGTCTGTCAGCAAGACAGCAGGACAACAACTTCTAAAATGTTTGTTTTCTGAATGGAGTTTGGATCGATCAGGGCTATGCTATGCTAACTTGGTCACAGTAAAGTACAATGATAGCTGGAATAAAGTTACAGACACATGTTTTCTGAACGCACTAGGTAGTTCAACCTCCTCGCTTTCTTTTCTCCCAGCAATGTCCAGTTTTTATATAAATATGAAGTCGTAGTCTGACAGAGCTAACGACGCTAACAACAACACTTGAACCGTATGTGCACGGAAGGTAGCTGCTGAGAAGCTCCAGTGAAGATAAATCAACGTTGAAATCCCAAAAACTAAAGTGAAAAGCTAATTTAATAAAAGCTGTTAACTCCGAGCTCCTCCCAGTAATCGGCGTAGCTGTCAGACCAGAATCTGGCCGACTGCGGGGGTTTATTTGTCCAAAGGTTGCAGCGCTGCTCCCTGCCTGGCCCTCTCCACACAACGCTCTGAAGCCTCAGTGACGTACGGACAATCTCAACACCAATAGGCTATCGCGATTCAGCGTCATGTGACTTCTTCCTTAGCGTTGCCTTCAGGTTGCTGGCGCCGCCCAACAGGAAATCGCGGCTCTACGCGTCTTTGCATCGACTTTGTATGTAAACTCACCGCCCCGAACGCTCGCTTCGCTTTTGGTCTGAAAGCACCATTAGTCTTTGTAGTTGTAATACAGCGAATATTTGGACCGATTTGGACTAGCGACAAACAACTACAACACCACGGGAGGAAAAAAACAAAACACAACAAACAATTCTTGAGCGCTGCGGGGGTATTTCAATGAGCATTAGAGGTTGCGTTACATGGACGTTGAAAAAACAAAAATAACCCGTTTAAAATGATCTAAGACCTAGAACAGAAACTTCAGCGAATTTAGGACTTTAAGGCCATAAATTTTGATTTTGAAAGACCCCGCCGAAACCCAGGAGGATGTCTACCTGACAGGTGCTGTTATCAGAGCAGCTCCTTTAATCTGGAGGTCTCAGTGTTTGATTGTCCGAGTGACAGGAAGTTACTGAATCTCAGAGGAGGAAAATATTCTGGCAGTAAAAGTACGGTGTTGGTGTGTCAGGTAATAAATGCTTCAGCTTCACAAAACAAAAGTCTTTTCCCAAACGGCTGGAAGAGTGAAGCAGGAAAACAAACATCTCCCCTTCAGACTGGAAGCTGAGCAGGAAGCTAACAGAACATTTTTTTGTTCAATTTATAGAAAGTAACGAGCAGCTGTATTTTATTCCAGCCTACTCCAGGTGTTCAGCTCTGTCTTGAACATAGACTGAACATCCATTATGGTAATATTTGGGTCACATAGCGACAATCACAAGGTAGCCCCGCCCTAAAGCCTCCCCTGCTTTCTGGTCTTTTTTCCTCTAAATGAACATCACGCTGTGTTGAAGAGACCATATACGATCCAGTGGAGACTCTCCCTGCTGGCTGTTACAGAGAATGCAGGTTTGAGGCTTCACTTTACAAACCTGGCGTTTCCTTCTTGGTGAAGACACAAAGCTGCTTCCTGGTTTCACAAATCAGACACATTAAATATCTAATTTCCGTTGTGGTTTTGAAACGGACCAATCAAAGAACGAGATGCAAATTCAGGTTGTCCTCACACAGAGGAGCAGGTGGAGGTGGGGCTATGTACTAAGGCGCTGCAGGAGGCCAGAGCCTTACGGCGGGACTTAGGAGGCTTGGACTGGGAATCCTTGTACCGCCAGGGCGAACAGGTCGCTGAACCTGCAGGAGGAGGAAGGGATATCATCACCTGCTGCACACACATGTTGCCCGACATTGCACAATGTTGACTGAAAAACTGTTAATTAATAACTCATTTACAAAGTTCAAGAGAACCCAGCTTTTTGCCTCATTCCTTAACGTTAGCAACCGTTAGCTAGCGTAAGCTAACGTACCTTATCAGCAGTGGCTGAAACCTTTCCAGACAGTCGTCAACACTTATGATTTTTCATCTGGGGCTGCTCCTTGTTACATGCGCTCTGGTCTGGTAAGTGAAAAAGTTCTGTTTTAAGGCGTAGTAATGTTAACAGAAAGGCTAATGTTAATGTTACTTGAAGTTAGCTGGGGTAACATTAACGTTCACTTTGCACTGAACTGCTGTAACTTAGTTAACGTTACTTTAATTAACGTTACTAGTAAGGGGGCGGGGCCAGCGACACGAAGGCAACGCTAAGGAAGAAGACACATGACGCTGAATCGCGATAGCCTATTGGTGTTGAGATTGTCCGTATGTCACTGAGGCTTCAGAGCGTTGTGTGGAGAGGGCCAGGCAGAGAGGGGGATTGAAAATCTGCAGGCCGGCTGAGAGCTGACAAACTGTTTCTGAACGCAGTGTTTGTAGTAAGATTTATGGTTCCTCAAAAAGTAAAAACATAATAACGTGGAACAATACTGACTGTTGAGACGAATGTCAAATATTAAACTGATTCAGGTTTCATTTTTTCGTAGCTTAATTATTAAATTATTTCCTCGAATACCAATAGCGGCATTGATTGATTGGGAGATCACCTGGAGGGGAAGTCCTGAGCTGAGAAGTTCGTGTGAGGTGAAGGTTCACGGAGGTGTTTCCGCTGCAGCCAGAATTAGGGCAGGTGTTCTGTCGATTTATGCTACCTATCGAGATGTGCTACTTAGGGTTTCTGCGCATGCATATGACCCACAAGCATGGTCTGTTTCCGGCAAATGTGGTCGAGTTAGACAAAGAAAGAGAAGGAAACGAAGATTAACAGCTGAGGGTGCAAAAGTGTGCAGGAGATCTCAGAGATGCTATTGGTATGCGAATGATCTCTTTTTTAAGTGTATTTGGACTCCGGTATTTTTTAATGATTTGAATGCGGCAAGATATAATGGTTTGTTTAAAAAGATTAGTGTGACGCTTTTGGGATCGTGCTGTGTGCTTGTTTATTTTGTCTGCTTTGATTTAACAACATTAGTTTAAGTGACTGTTTAATGTGCTTGGTGGTCGTGAGTCATGATAGCGGAGGATATTGTTTCTTTACATTATTACGTCATTCAGAGTGGAAATGTGAACATGATTCAATTAAGTTAGTAGTCGATATAGTGGTTATACTTGGAGAAGCATAATTAACTTGTTTATTTAAGAGCTGTGTTTAAAGTTGAATTTTTATTTGGATTAATCTTTATTCTTAGAAGAACTGCTTTATTTATTTGGATGTGATTAATACATTTATTATTGATCATGTGTTTAATTTGAGTCACAAATGCTGACGGTGTACAATTGGAATATTATTTATTTATTTATTTTTTCTGGTTGCATTTAAAGGTTATCAACCTATTAAACTCCATTGATAATGAATGAATCACAACTGATGGTTGTGGAAAACTAAATAAATGCAAAGAAAGAAGATTTTAAGGAACGAGTTGTCAAAGTGTCCTCTGTCATCTCCTAAGCCTTTTTCGAGTTTAAGGCAATCACTGAAGCCACACCCCAGATAACTCTACACCTACTTTCACTGATATAGGTTAAATTTGATATGAAAACCCCTCCAGTTGGGAGATTTTCAAGTCAGATCAGTTGGAACTGTGTAATTATGTTTGTATGATAAGTATTTAATATGTTTTATATTTAACTTATATCTGTTGTAATCTGTTTAAATAGACCAAAAGTCAAGTAAACCTGAGCGCTGTGTTTCCTCGAGCTTCAAAGACATTTCTGTAAGACGTATCCTGATATAGTGTTGACGCATGGCTGAATGTTTTATTTTGTCAGCGGGGAACCTAATAAACCGCTCAGCCCTTCAATTGCAGACACAAGTTGCCTCATCTGAAGTGGCTGTAATATGTATTTGTAAAGGAATATTTTTCCACTGTGGTAATGAAAGTTGCTGAGGAATGTTCAGTTTTTATTTAAATCTAATATTATTATTTGTTCATTTTGGTAGATTTAGTTTGTGGTCTGTACTGTATTGTGTTATAAACAGCTGAGTCTCTTTTATTTAGCATGGCCTCACTGATATAAATATAGACAAAATATCAGAAACACCAGTCCATGTGATCCAAAACGATCATACAGTTGCAACAAAAACTGAACAAGACATTTTTATGAAGGGAGGATTTATTGCAGAAATGTTGGATTAGACTGCTTTAAATTTAGCTAGATGTACCAAATAAACTGGTAACTAAGTCTTAAAGACTAAATACATTTATCACAACAATAAACTCTGTCCATATCACATGTTTGTGAGAAGTGTTTACATGGCCTTTATTTTGTAAACTAATCAAAAGTTGGTGTTCATATTTTGTGTGAACATTAAGGACTGTAGAGAGTGCTGCTGAAGGAATTTCATCATGTCCATAATCACCTGACTTGCGAAAGCAGCTCTGATATTTGTGAGTCAGATAAATTATAAAATATTGTATTTTTTAAGAAAATCAGCATTTGATGATGTTCTTGTTGACTGGCTAATGGGAAATCTTTATATTGTTTGTTATATTTGCTCTCACAGAATCAAACACAGTATTGAGTGGCACTACAGCTATCCAAGGTATGTTATCAATTTGCATATTTCTGCGTCAATTGCTGGCTTGCTAATCAGACATACTGAGGATATAAAAAATACTACACTGCTAGAATTGGAGCCAGCAACATTTCACAGTGGATGACATTTTAACATGAAAGAAGATATTTTAGCCCTGACTTGAGACGTAGGAGGGATATTGTACTGTTTTAGAAAAGTGCATTAGTCCAGCTATGACTGTGAGATTTTATAATGAATATGTATATTTAGCAATTTAAAATTCTCAGATTTCTTCCAGAAATGATTGGCAGTGATCAAAAGCCGAGAAAACTGTAGATCTATTACATCATTAAGTGTAAGCTCTGTTAAAGGCTGTTATAAACTTATGATGAGATGGTTAAATGACTCCTTTATGGTTCTTAAACTATTTAGTACCTGACTGAAATTCTGTCTCAACCCTGTTCAGACCAAAAATGGCACTGTTGAGAAAAAAAACACAAGGGTCTGTGTTGGTGTGGGAATGTTGCTTCAGATAGAAGCTAAATGATGAAATATTATACAGTTAGTCTAGTTTAAAATATATTTGATTGCTAACTCATTTCTTAGCAACATAATCTTTCACTTTGATGCAGCAAAACGAAAAAACAAAAAAAAAGTTATGTTAAAGAAATTTGCAGAATGACCCTGCATTTTCTTTTCTTGTCAATGCAGTGGTCAATGTTAATTTCTCAGGTAAAAACTATTGTTTTTGCCATTTAGCCAGCCATGCTGCTCATGAGACCCTGTGTCCTCATATGGGGATATTAGATCTTGGGATCCCTGCACTTTATACTTAATTCAGCTACTGAGACCTATACTCCTTCTTAAGGCCCATTTATACTCCTGCGTAGGGTCTATGTGCGTACCTACGCCATAGGCTATGCACGTAGCCATGCATTTATACTTGTGCGTAGGTGTGTCCGTCATTCTGCAATTACACCCCCAAACGCTAGTCGGCAGTAGCGCTATAGCATCCACTGTCAACACAGTGGACTTTTGCCGGCCGAGCAGGCGCTCCGTTAACGTAAATGGGGGTAAAATTGTATACGTGCGGCTGGTGTAGTCTTTTCAAATGTTACCGACCAAATGGATCACATTCTGATAGCGAAACGAGTCATTTCGCTCGGGTTGCGGCGGTCTAATATATTGATTCACTGTGTTACAGCCGCCGTTTTGGCCGCTAGTAAATGTTACTTCAAAGCACGGGGTACTTCCGGTCGGCTCGGAGGCATTGCAAGGCTACCCAGCCGACCAATCACAGAGCTTATGGTCTGCGTTGACTCGACGTGTAGTTACATTTTGGTGGAGGTGCACGTCAGGCGACGGCGTAGCCCCGCAGCCTACGCTGTCATCTACGCCATCGATTTGACGCAGAAGTATAAATTGCACTTTAGTGGACAGTTGCCTGTGCCATCTAGTGGTAGCAAAACCAAAATACACTAATTCGTGGAAAAACAAGATCGCGTCAATAACAAATACCTTCTGCAGCAAAGTGGAAAAGGTAAAAATCCTAATAAAATTTTATGGTTGGAACTTGTTTTTTCAAAAACTTTTTTAAAAGTAACAAGCGAAGATGCTGTTAATTAGGGAGTACTCTATATATACACTATATTGTGCTCTAAGTGCTATATACTATAGTTAGCCTACAGTGGGGAGTACAACTTACAAAGCATGTAGAGTTCTGTAATTTTTATCATATCAACTGTGAGAGACAGAATCTAAAACAAAAACCCAGAAAATCTCAGTGTATGATTTTTAAATAATTAATTTATATTTATTTTATTGCATGACATGAGTATTTGATACATCAGAAAAGCAGAACTTAATTTGGTACAGAAACCGTTGTTTGCAATTACAGAGATCATACGTTTACTGTAGTTCTTGACCAGGTTTGCACACACTGCAGCAGGGATCCCCAAAGAATGATGTTTCCACCTCCATGCTTCACAGTTGGGATGGTGTTCTTGGGGTTGTACTCATCCTTCTTCTTCCTCCAAACACGGTGAGTGGCGTTAACCATAAAGCTCTATTTTTGACTCATCAGACCACATGACCTTCTCCCGTTCCTCCTCTGGATCATCCAAATGGTCATTGACAAACTTCAGACGGGCCTGGACATGCGCTGGCTTGAGCAGGGGGACCTTGCGTGCGCTGCAGGATTTTAATCCATGACGGCGTAATGTGTTACTAATGGCTCTTCTTGAGACTGTGGTCCCAGCTCTCTTCAGGTCATTGACCAGGTCCTGCCGTGTAGTTCTGGGCTGATCCCTCACCTTCCTCATGATCATTGATGCACCACGAGGTGAGATCTTGCATGGAGCCCCAGACTGAGGGAGATTGACCGTCATCTTGAACTTCTTCCATTTTCTAATAATTGCGCCAACAGTTGTTGCCTTCTCACCAAGCTGCTTGCCTATTGCCCTGTAGCCCATCCCAGCCTTGTGCAGGTCTGCAATGTTATCCCTGATCTCCTTACACAGCGATCTGGTCTTGGCCATTGTGGAGAGGTTGGAGTCTGTTTGATTGAGTGTGTGGACTGGTGTCTTTTATACAGGTAACGAGTTCAAACAGGTGCAGTTAATACAGGCAATGAGTGGAGAAAAGGAGGGCTTCTTAAAGAACAACTAACAGGTCTGTGAGAGCCAGAATTCTTACTGGTTGGTAGGTGATCAAATACTTATGTCATGCAATAAAATGAAAATTAATTATTTAAAAAACATACAATGTGATTTTCTGGATTTTTGTTTTAGATTCCGTCTCTCACAGTTGAAGTGTACCTATGATAAGAATTACAGACCCCTACATGCTTTGTAAGTAGGAAAACCTGCAAAATCAGCAGTGTATCAAATACTTGTCTTTCCCCACTGTATGTGGGTTGCGTTTTCACACATTTGTGAAATGCTTGCAACTCACTGTCTCTTAGTGTGTTTGACTACTACCCTTACCAAGTGTAGTAGTAATAATAATAATAACAATGCATTACATTTATATAGCGTTTTATCATGGAAACTCAAAGCTCTTCACAGTGAAGTGGGGGCGAGCCCATGTAACATGTAAAGGTTGGATCTTTCTAGTGATATTCCCCTTATGAACCAGCCCACGTCACGTTCTGTGTGTAGTTTGTGAAGAGAGAAGAGCAAAGCAATGGAGAGCAAAAATGATCAGAGCAAAGCAATGAAGAGAAGAGAAAGCAAAGAAGTGAAGAGCAAAGCAATGTTGAAAATGCAGAGATCCAGCAGACCTGTGTGCAAACATAAGCATGGACAGCGCTGTAAATCTGCTCAATTCGGTCCAGACGTGGTTCCATTTAAGGCTGAAGATGAAAGGCTGCATGAGGTCCAAAATTGGCAACCATTGGACTATGTAGAACAGTACATGGACACTCATATAAGTTCTTTCGAACTGTACAAATGCTGTGTCCCTTGCAAACAGTCTCTCAACGCTACAGTTGATGAAATGTATAACTTTTTTTGCATCAATTTTATTTTAATTTTGCCTTACCCGCAAATCAGAAAACATACACGTTCAAACTCATACTGTTTGCAATTTTGCACAGCCATGTTCTTTTGTGATTGGAAACATGTTTCTGTTGAAATAAACAGTTTTCTACTGTATTACACATTGGTGACTTTATTGCATTTTGTAGTAAAATAGACCCAATGTCCCATACGAGGACATAATTTTTTTTCAAAAAGTACTTCCTGTTCAAAGTCGATGTTTAGTTTTTTATACTTATTAGGTCCTACTTATCCCAAATAACCAAGAGAAATTAAAAATGCACACAGAATCAAAGCTCAAGTCTTAGGAGATTAAAACAATTAATTGATGCATTATGTTTTTCTCGCAAGGCCCAAGTTGGAAACCATTAATCTGCATACATTTATGTGTTTGCAGGTGTTTCCTGAGTTTGTTTTACAAAGGTTGAACCTATGCAACCAATTCTACTGCGAGCTTGAGAGCTACATACCACAACTGATTGCCCTGTACAGGCAGAAGGCCAAGAGAGCAGAGGCCCTGCAGAGATCCTCAGGATTTATGACCTTCAGGTGAGTTTAAGATTACCTTTGCCGTAGCAACAATGTTAATCACATAATGGTCAGTCACCATTGTGTCCCTGAGCAAGACACTTAACCCCTCGTTGCTCCAGAGGTGTGCAACCTCTGACATGTATAGCAATTGTAAGTCACTTTGGATAAAATCTACACTCTCATCTACTTTCAATTGTCATTTCTCATTTGCATTTAATTTTGTAAGTTTTCCGGTACATGACAGTTGCAGAGATGCAAACAGAGAGAGATGTACTGTAGGCCTTCTCCACAAGCAGCACACCTGCGATTGTTAGCACAGAATCATGTGTGAAAAAGTTCAAAACGCGAGCTGTGTTTTTGTGCAGTAAAACATACGTCTGACAATGGAAGTTGAAAGCGGACAGATAGCAGCCTGTATGTGTCTGTTGCTGTATGATACAGCAACAAAGAAACTGAAAAGGGTGGTGCAAGCTGGTGCATGTGCAGCATTGTGCGGGACAGAACTGTAGGTGCTTGTGCGAATCTCCACATCCCAAAATTGAAAACTGAATACCAACCCAATGAATAGTCGAATATTTGGGTCCAGCCGTACTGCACTGGCTTCCAAATGTCTTCTATTGTCATGTTTAAGGTTATAGTTAGCTTCTATTTCTCACCCATTGTTTGAGTCACTGTGTTTGTTTAAATTTGACTTGTCTTCTAGTAGTTGCAGCTGGATGGATTTGTTGTTATTGCCATCATTATTATTATTTTAGAATTACATTGGTAGAACTGTTACACTTTATGGCTGGATTTGCTGTAAAAATATTTGAATAATAATAATTAATTCTGATTGTCAATCTAGGAACAACACGAGGTACACATGAGATGCTATCCGGCCCTCCGTGACCTCCCAGTGAACCTGCCAGCGGATGACGGATGTCTTCAAAACCTGCAATGTAAGTACTCAGTGTACTCACAGAAATGTCAATATCAACAACAAGTAATATGAAATGTTAATGTAATGAAATGTACTATTTGTGGGGGTTTTTGTAGTCTATCTCAGAAAAATGCTAAAATATGATGTGTACAGTGATAAGGTTATTGTTGGCTATTAGCATCCCCTTCATAGGCATGGCCAAATTGTTCTTAATTAGGAACAAACCCACTCTTCTCCTTTCATGAAAAATTTTATTTTTTTTCTGTGACATCACTGCGGCGGCTGATAATCACTTCCTCCTCCTGCAGGTTCAGCGACCTGTTCGCCCTGGCGGAGGAGTACGAGGATTCCCAGACTAAGCCTCCCAAGTCCATACGCACCTGAACACACAGTATAAGAAAAAACTTCAACCTATCTACAATGCATAATATAAGTATGTCTTACTGAACTTGGGTTATAGTTTGTCTGCACATAAAATCTGCACATATCTTTGGGCAAAGACGGACAGACTTATAACAGTTATTATAAGCTTAGTCCCATTTGAACATTACTATGTGATTCAGTTAAATGACCTTTTCTTATGGCTATGGCATCACACAGATGTCTGCTTTCTGCTGCTCTTCTTCGCTGTAACTTACGTTAAGTCTGTTGTGCAGGACGTTAATGTTTGTTTCACCCACAGCAAACATTTTACATTATGTTTCCAGGCATATAGAAGATATCTTTTGAGTCGCATCTTGGTGCTGGATAACAGGTAAAACAAAAGTTTTCTCCAAAGGTTTGTATAGGGAATGCTGTGTGGCAATATACGCAGAGGTCAGGATCGGACTGTAGTTAGTGTTTGTCAGCAAAGTTAAGGTCACAATTAGGGGAGTTGTTGCAGATTTGTTGGCTGCACATCCATGATGCAAGTCTCCTGTTCCACCCCATCCCAAAGGTGCTCTATTGGATTGAGATCTGGTGACTGTGGAAGCCATTGGAGTACAGTGAACGCATTGTCATGTTCTTCCTGCTGGAAGTAGCCATCAGAAGATGGGTACACTGTGGTCATTAAGGGATGAAATGGTCAGCAACAATACTCAGGTAGGCTGTTGTGTTTAAACGATGCTCATTTGGTACTAAGGGGCCCAAAGTGTGCCAAGAAAATAATCCCCACACCAATACACCACCACCACCATTCTGAACTGTTGATACAATGCAGGATGGATCCATGCTTTCATGTTAACACAAAATTTTGACCCTACCCATCTGAATGTCGCAGCTGAAATCGAGACTCATCAGACCAGGCAACGTTTTTACAATCTTCCATTGCCCAGTTTTGGTGAGCCTGTGTTAATTGTAGCAGTTTCCTGTTCTTACAGCTCTGACAGGAGTGGCACCCAGTGTAGTCTTCTGCTGCTGTAGCCCATCTGTAGCCAACCGTCCACACAATTGCTGCTCTTTTTTGAACCATTCTCTGTAAGATGGTTGTGCATGAAAATCCCAGTAGATCTGCAGTTTCTGAAATACTCAGACCAGCCCATCTGGCACTAACAACCATGCTACGCTCAAAGTCACTTAAATCTCTATTCTTCCCCATTCTGATGCTCGGTTTTAACTTTATCCAGTTGTCTTGACCACGTCTACATGCCTAAATGCATTGAGTTGCTGCCATGTGATTGGCTGATTAGCTATTCGTGTTAACAAGCAATTGAACAGGTGTCCCTAATAAAGTGGCCGGTGAGTGTATATTTGAAGTTGCTTTAAGGTTAAACCTTCTAGATTAGCTTTACAATAGTGATGTGCGGATCGATCCTAAAGTATTGATATTTCTGATACCAATGTCTCCTGCTCTAGGATCGATACTCATATAAAAGGGTTGATATCTAAAATCAGTAATTTGGAGTGAGTGTGTGTTTTATCATAAGTATCTTACTGTCGCCAGGATGGTCTAATTATAGGCTACTTGGTTGATAAGAACTACTTTTCCTTCCGCCTGTCAGAGTCATGCTTGCGCTACGGCTCTGTGACGGAGCTTCTTTGAAGTGATTCACTGCAGCCATTTCCATGTCTGGCTATATTTTAGCTGTGAAGGTAATAATGTGACTTGACAGTGAAATACTTTGGCAACATTGCAAACTTTGCTAAACATCTGAGATTAAGTCAAAATAATATGATGATGTTATGGAGCGTCAGTTCTGAGCAGGAAATTTTTATTATAATTAAAGAATATGACAGTAGTTTGATGTCTTGTAATTATGCAGCTATTATTTTGAATTGGTAAGGCTACAGCCAACTCCTTATTTCTCTCAAATACAGAAACGGGAGGAGGGAGGTGACTTTAAACTAGAAATAAAATATGTTAAAAGTATTGGTATCGCTATCAATACCAGCCTGGGTATTACTTGGTATTGGATTGTAAAGGAATTAAGTGGTATCGCACCTCACTACTTTACAACAGTTAAATTCTATCTCTAGTTTTCTTAAGTATGATCTATAAGACATTTTGAAGTGAAGTGGTTAGACGTGGTGTGGTGCCAATCATTGTTCTCCTGCCAATTAAGGACCTGCAACGCGCACTATTGGCCAATCATGGTCATGTGACTAAAGGAGAAGGCGAGGGACCAGTCTTCAATTGAGAAAGGCCAGAATATGATATTATAAATCTAAGGTGGTACTTACACTTTAGTGTGCAATACAGAGTCAAAACCTTCCTGGAACAAATATCAATGACTAAACTCAAAAGTGAGGAAACATATAGGCTACCTGCACGCTGCCTTGTTAACTTAAATATTCGTAAATGAGCATCATATCGGCAAAATCTACCGTCGTATGTTAATGCTCGCGTCCCTACTTCACTTCAGAGCCATTTCCTCTGTAACCTGATCGTTGACCGTAATACGTCTAATAAAGTCGCTTAAAGTCGCACACACCCTCTGGCTGCGTGTGTGAGGTGCCACATCGAAGTGGAATATAAACCGCGGAAAATGCGCATCATGCTGCTGTTCCTGCTGCAGTTGTTGGTCCTTGCTTCGTGTGCTCCTCAACGGTGTGACCCAGGATTTCGGGGTAAAGTTTTTCAGCTTCATCTGAATACTTATTAGACGTGCATCCGGACCTGCTCCATGAATTAGTCATGGCATATTTTCATGTGCAGACTCTAGTTTTCTAGACCCAGCAGCTGACTCACGTGTTGTAAAACTTGTGAAAAATGCTTTTTATGTAACTTTTAGAAACTTAAAACCACAAAATGACTGGGAATGATTAGCTTTTGGCTTATAGCTTCTGAAATGGTATTACTATTCCAGATGAAAGGATGCCGTTCAATTTTAATGATTAAGATTTGTAATCCTGTAAAAAAATGTGTAACCTCTAGTGACTTAATGATACTTTATAGACAGACAGGCATTTTATAAAGGTTAGAAAGGTTGACCAGAGTGTTTTGTAAGCCACATTTACAGAAACCACTCTGCCATCTAGTGTCAGCCACAGTGTCAGCTAATGACATACTGATGTGTCTTGCAGGACTGTGCAAGCCAACAGTGGAAGAAAAACGTAAGTACCCTTTGGGCCTGGAGGAAGCACATCTAGCTCATATTGTAGCAGCTGATCGCCTCTCTGCACTGTTTAACTCATAAGTGGTAGCTTTTCTTTGACTTTTTGAGCCTAAAAAAACACATTTTCACATCAGATCAGACTCCAAACTGCCCTTGAGTGTTTGTATAGTTACATCGCCGTGGATTTGATTTGAGTCAGTGTTTTTAACAACAGAAAGGATGAGATCATAAGTCACACTGGGCGTAGTCTTAATGGAATCTGGCCCCGAAAGCCATAAGACCCTCGTGTGTATTTTTAGATGATCAATGGCGCTATGAAATATTCAAATTCTAATTTCCAGAGATAATAGAAACATTTAGGGCCAGATGATTGAAGACGGCACAGTGAGGCTCATGATTAAGTCTTGAACCCTCGAAATAAGATTTATAAAGTTAGTTATTGGCTGTTGGTGTGAATAACTGTTCCCTACTGGTTCCTGCACTTTTCTCTAATCAATTTGAGTAACCGTTTGTTTCTAAAATGTTCCTAACCTATCTCAATGTTCTTTTTGCCTCAGCCAAATGCACGGATGTGTTGCTGTCCTACTGCGACGACATGGCCTACACTCAGACCATGTTCCCGAACATCCTCGGCCACAAGACCCGCGAAGATGCCGAGGCTGGCACCGAGTACCTCCTCATGAGTGTGGTTGAGTCCCTGCTCAGGGGAGAGTGCAACCCTGAAATCCGAATGCTGGGCTGCTCTGTGTTGGCTCCGCGCTGCGAGAAGGAGACGGTGCTGAAGCCCTGCCGCGTCACCTGTGAGGCGGTGCGTAAAAGATGCATCCACGCTTTCGAAGCGATAGAGATGGCTTGGCCCTACTTCCTGGACTGTGACCGCTTCTTTGTCAGTGTCGAAGAGGGATGTTATGACCCTCTGGAGGGCCTCAGAGGTGAGAGCTAAGTACAACATCATCTGTATTGTAACCTTAGTGATCTGACCTTAGTTTTGGCTGTTACTAATCATGTCCATATTGATATGTGACATTTTGGTTTCTGCCCTTTTGTTTTCATCTTCAAGAGTAAGACTATTCCATTGAGTTTCAATAGGGCATTTTCATGTGGTGCATCTGGTTCACACACATGCTCATGTGGCTCACTGCACAATAAAATCCAACTGGAACGCCTTATTTCCTCACATAAACCCTCACTTACACGGGTCCTGTGGCTAGTTTCTTAAGCAGCCAGTCCTTATAAACAGCGTCATGCACCACAGAAATGCACACATTGTCTGACAGTATTTTCTTAAAACTGTTATAAATGCTTCTCAAAAACAGGTTTCCAAAGATAGATAATAGATATTCTGCTGCCGCTTACAACAGAAATCATGTGTGAGACATATGAGAGCATGAACAGGAGGAACTGATTTTGAGCATTTAGTCATATTTAGCATTTGTGTGGAGTGAAATGTGTACACGGTCATAAAAGTCTTAAAAGTCAACCAATGAACAAACTACACCTTCTTAATCTGTAATGCTTTATCAGTGTCTCACTCTTTATTGTCAGGCAAAACATTTTCTGCCATGTAGAATGAGGATTAGATGTCTAGCTGCAGGTCGGCCGCGTGTGATTATTCATGATCATTTCAAACTAATGTTCATGTTTTGATGTGATGTGACCTCAATCTGGACATAACTTGGGCTGCTATACAGTATGTACATATGTAGTGTTGTAGGAATTATATTCCTGGTGAGGGGTTGAGCAAATAATTAAGTTACAACTGTTGTCTTTGAAGAATTTATTTAACAAAAGAGAATAAACAGAGAAGTTCTACAACACAAATCAGCTGGACCAGAGGTTCTGTCTCCTAGGACAATCACTAACGTCTGGCCCTGAGCAAAGGGCTGCATGATCATTTACAAAGTATGGGTTTCTATGTTTTGGGCAACAAAAGATCCTCTCTCCGGCCTGACTGGTCCCAGTCAAAGCAAGGAGAGGAACAGCTAGTAAGTACACTCTAAAACAACTCCACATCCCTGACCTAAACCCTAAACATGTGGACAGACTAGAATGATGAGAATAATAATAAAAGGAACAGGTTAGAGAGAGAGAGAGAGAGAGAAAAATCTTATAAGTACTTGTATAAAAGATAAGTAAAGAAGAAAACAATTTTCTGCCGTCACATGTGGCAAAAGGCAATTTAGTGAAATGTGTGAAATGTTTTGCCACACTGTATAGCAGCCTTTCATTAAATATCAAGCTGTTAGCAACAATCACCATTAATAATTTATAATCAGCAACTATTTTGATTGTCTATGTCAGTGGTTCTCAAACTTTCATGTCAAGGACCCCTAAACTGACACAAATTAGACCACGGACACCCATTTGATAAGATTTTGTCCCAGAATCGCCCATCTGATCGGATTTTATTCCAAAAAGTGTGTGAAATCCATG